CTGAGAAGAAGCTAGCAGACATTTAAGAGGTGAAAAAGGAGAGACAATTGTCATGAAAACCTAGAAAGGGGAATGTATCCAGGAGAATAGGGTGGTCAAGTGTCAAATGAAGCAGATAGGTCTAAAAAGATTAAGATTGCCAAAAGAATATCAGATTTGGCAACTAACAGATCACACTTAACTTTAGAGAGAGAGTTTCAGTTGAGTGACAAAGTCAAAAGCCAGATTACAAAGGGTTGAGGAGAGGAAAGGAAGTGGAAGCAGATAATGTAGACTACTTTTTCAAGGAGACTGGCTACAAAAGGGAGGAGAGACATAAGACTATAGTTTGAGGGGATACCAGAGTCTAGTGAAAGCTTTTTAAATATGAGGGAGATGGTCATGTTTGAAGGCAGTAGGGAGAGAATCAGTAGATAAGGAGAGGTTGAATTTTGAGATATGGAAGGGGATGACTGAGGATGTAATCTTCTGGAGAAGATGGGAAGGAATGGGGTCAAGTACACATAGAGAGGGGCTGGCCTTGGCAAGAAAGGCCACTTCTTTGTCAGAGCTAAAGGAAGGAAAAGTAGCATATAATGTCACAGGGTTTTGAGATGGAGAGAATGGAAGAAGGAACTCCCATCAAATGGTCTCAATATTTTCAGTAAAAAGGGAAGGCTCCACTGAGAGAGAAGGGCAAAGAAGTAAGGTGGGGGAGTGGATTAAAAGGGGAGGAAGAACAGAGGATAGTGTACAGTTGAGATGGTGACCAATGGCATATAGTAGTATGCATCATCATACCATTCAATAAAATAGCAATTCCTCAGGGGCATACCTAATTCATACAGGTTTCTCTTCAAATGAGGCTGTACAAATTAGGTTTTCACCACAATATCTGAAGTTTGACAACTTCTGACTCTGTCAGAAAAGATGGGTATTTCCATGGAAATCAAAATTTCTTACTCTGTATTCTACAACTAAGATTTAAGACTTACCACTTTAACTCAATAGAAAGTCCTTCCAGCCTCAGATCCAGATCTGTGCTCCTCTGGATCCTACAAATGGACCTGAGTTTATTTACTTAGGTTTTGACTTAAATGTTTGAAGGGCAAAGTAAGGGAACCAGGTTGTGCTCTGAGATACTTTTTTCTGGCACATTTAATAAACATGGACTCAATATCCAGAGACTTAGAGATAACAGATATTTTTGTTTAGCTTTTTTGTTGCTTTTTTTTTACTTATAAGAAAGATAAAAAAGAGATTTTTAAAAAATTATTAACATTTTGTGCTTTTGGCTTCCTATTTCGAGCTTTACTATATTACTTTTCCTTGTGATTAGAAGAAATGACAATCAGTAGTTCAGTTGTGCACAGCCTTTATTTCTTCATTTTCTTCAAATAACTAGGCCTCCCTATATAGGCCTTTTCCACTCACAGGCTGGGTTTGTCCCTATGCTTCATGCTTATTTAAAAATAATTAAATCACTTCTTTGGCCCATCCTTATAAAATGTCATTTCTAGCAAATAAGCTAATAAACATTTGCAGACATATTATCCATTGGTAAAATATGTTTACTTGTTCTTTTTTTAATTCCTGGAACCAATTTGGCTTCTCATCACTGGTCTTTTTTTTTTTTTCCTGACCAGCATTCTGGCACACCAAAGGTAGATAGATAATTAAGCGTGTTATAGTGATGTACCATATGGATATAATCCAAGAGCTTCAAACAAATTCTTGGACAAATGGCAAGTACTTTCTTTTGGTCTTAGCCATATAAGTTATAGCCTATTTCACACCTCCTGAAACACGTGCTTATAGATTGCTAAAGCATGATGCTTGCTGAATGCTCCTCCTTACCTACCCTGATACTTTTGAGAAAGGATTTAAGTATTTCAGTGCTTTCTAAATATTGTAGCACTAGAAAACATACTGGAGTCTTGGATTTCAGAAAACTAGGTGGTGCTGTGGCTAGAGTGCTGAACTTAGAGTCTACAAGGCCTGAATTCAAATTCTGCCTTACTTATTAACTATGTCTCTGAGCAAGTCACTTAACCTTGACCGATTTTGGTTTCCTAGTCTATAAAAAAGGGACAAATAACATCATCTACCTTGCATAGTTGTTGAAAGGTCCAAATGAAATAGCATATGTAAAGCACTGCACAAACATTCCAGTGCTATAGAAATTCTTACTATTTTGAAGCTGAAAGCCAATGGTTACAAGAGAATCTTCCTTGTATGCCTCATCTCAGGCCCTGCCTATTAGGGGAAAGATGGACATTGATTCTCAATCCTTTCACGATATAATCTCTTTACTAAGGTGGTCCAAAAAAAATCACAGAATTGAGAGGAAATACCCCTCCTGACTATATTATTTGGAATATATATAAAATGCCCCTCTTCACCATATTATTTGGAAACCATTCCAAATACCTAAGAACCAATTCTAAGGGCCCCTTTCTAACTACTGAATTACTTCTGCATTTTAAATTAGAGCTATAACTAGAGCAGGATGACAAGAGCTTTGTCACAGGGCACAGAAGTTTATAAGGTGCTGGCTACTTGTAGTACTTTATAAAAAAAAAACAACAACCCAAACCAATAAACAACTGAGCTTCATGACTAGTTATCAAGAATAATTAGTTAAGATAGGAAACTGCCAGATCTTTCTACCCCCAAAACACCTTGAAATGGCCTGGGGTATATTTCCTTCCCATTGGCAGCCATTTTCCAGATGAGTCCCTCCTGACCCTCCCTTCCCAGATGACTTACATTATCGCTCACCACTGAGGCAAGTTGCTGCATCCTTCAGATTCCCTCTCCCCCCCTTTCACATTTATCTTGAGTAACGCATGATGCCACATGTTCTGAGAACATTAAGGTCTTTGGCGTCCTGAAAACTGTATACCCCTTTCCTCCAACTTGTTTTATGCCATTTGCCCCAGGTACAAAAATTGCTAGCTATGGCTCTGTTTGGATAACTGCTTATTATGCATTGGGCAGAAACAAGTTAGTGGTGATAGCAGGTGGTACCAGCTTTCAGCATTTAGGTGCTTAAGTGCATCTGAAAGGCTGTTTTTTCCCCTATGAAAATCATCCAGTTTTAACACAGAGCAGGTGAGCTATTCTAGACAAATGTAATCTCTAGCAGAGACATTTAGAGTTTATTAGATCAAAACCAAAAGCCTGTAAGACATGAGACAAATGCAATGGTGCCTTTTGTGAACTATTTGAAATTAACAACAATTCTATTTTTTTTTTTTTTGCACCTGGACTGCTACATGGATCTCTTACCTCCCTGTTAGGACAAGTTGGTGCATACTTTGGATTTTTTTTTATTCCCCCATACATATCCATGCCAATGCATGACTCCACCTGTCTGAGCACATATTGAGGACTTTTGTCTGGTATCTTGAAAACTGACAAGTCTTAAAATATATTATCTATGGCTCCATGGGTAACTGGCTAAAACTCCCAGTGGTGTTTAGTGACAAGAGCAGATGATGCAATTGGTAAGTCAGACATGCAGGATATGTGTACTAGCGTCTACTCCAAAGGAAAAAAATTATTTATTCATATATGTGTGTGTATATATATATATACATACACACATATATATACATATACATATACATATACACACACACACACACACATATGTTTAGCCATTATTCCCATTCCAGTTTTGAAAGGAGGAATACATTAAGGCATTACAAGGCTTGACTTTCCAGGACTGTGTGTTGCAGTGACCCTTATCTAAAGTGCATTTTTCTTCTAGATCTAATTCTTGAGCACATCTCTGGTATCTCAAGGGTCATCCATCCCAGTAGAATATATATCCTTCCCCTACAAGTGATCAGTTACAGAGTGGCCCAGTTGAGGGCAACCAGAATCGTGAAAGACCTTGAGTTCATGCCACTACGAAGACTAGCTAAGGGAACAAGGATGTTTAGCCTGGAGAAAACAACTCAGGGGTACACGAAAGGTGTCATCAAGTATATGAAGATCTCTCTTTTAGGAGAGGGATAGCTTTTTTTTCTGCTTGGTTCCAGAAGGCAAGCCTACGAGCAATGGGTAGAAATCGCAGAGACAGATTTAGGTTTAATAGCAGGAAAAACCTCAAACAATCAGAGCTATCCAAAGCCAGAATGGGCTGTCTCAGGAAGAGAAGTGCTGGAGACTCTTCCTTGGAGATCTTGAGCCTATAGCTGGAGGACTACAGTGTGTCAGAAAGGCAATGCTTTTTCTGTGAAGCATCAGTCAGTCATTAAACAGGCATTTAAGCACCAGGCACTTAAGCTAAGTGCTAGGGATACAAAGAAAGGTAAGAGATAATCCCTTCTTTCAAGGACCTTACAGTCTAATGAGCCAATGTGCAAGGAACTATGTACAAATGATACATATAGGATAAATCGATAATCAATACAGAGAAGGAACTAGAATTAGGAGAGGCTTCTTTTTCTTTTTTTTTTAATTTGAAGCCAGGAGACAGAGGCAAAATGGGGACAAGTCAGTAAAAATATAAGAAGTTGGAAAGGGAGTGTCTGGTGTGAGAAACAGCCCCTGCGATTCTTGCCAACTTGGGATATTTTGTGAATTATATGTTTAAGTCAAGAGTTGTGCAAGTTTACTGCTATATTTTTTCAGTTCCTGAATGAATTGATTGCACTATAAAGTAACACATTAGCTGGGAACATCCCTTGTTAAGCAAGGCAAAAGGACATTGGTTCAGAGTAACCACTTAGCAATTTACCAACTTTATTTCCTTCTAATACTTTGGTCAGTAAGTGATGATTGAAACATATTGAATTGTATGGACATTTATAAGGTCTATGTGGACTGCTGAAGGGTTTGTGTATTCACAACAACCGAGAGAAAAGTACAGGATCAAATTGTATTCTTTTTTTTAAAGTTTTTTTAATTTTTTTGTTACATTTTAAGTTCCAAGCTGTCTCCCTCTTTCTCCACCTCAAACTAGACTTAGCCACCATTTGACACAGATCAAAATGGATTCTCAACAGTAAGTGCTTTTATATTTTATTGTAAAGTAATTTTCTCCCAAAGTTATAGCCACTTAAATATTTTAAAATGTGATAAATGAATACCATCTTCTATGTCTTCCTGCTGGGCACAATTCCAGCCCCTGCCCTCTGCTCTAAGAGGTTTTCTCGTTCAGAATGAATTCCTTCCTCTCAGAACGCTGTGTAGTATCTTTCCATTGTGCTGACTATTTCACTCTTGTCCTCCAGGAGATCCAAAACCTGATGCAGCACTGCCTCACTCATGCTGGGGTCATGGTGCAAGCGAGCACAGGCCAAGATGTGAAGGAAATGGCAACCCTTCTCAGAATCTGTCGGAAGGAAAGAGACAGACTGCTAAGCCTGCACATGCCTGCATTTCTTACACAAGAAAGGCTCTTCCCTCTCTAACTGAATTAAAGCAAACTGTGCTTGTGGCAGCCAAGACTAGTGAACTGAGCACTGGATGTGGGGTCAGGAAGACCCACCCCGACACTGACTAGCTCTGTGGTCACAGACAAGTCACAACTTCATTGCGTCTCAGGTTCCTCATCTGTAAAATGGGGTTAATAACTGTAGTGTTTGTTTCACAGGGTTACTGTGAGGATTAAATCTGATAATATGCCTTGTAAACATTAAAGCACCATATAAATATCATTAATAATAATAATAGCAATAACTGGGCAGCACATCGTTGCAGACTGTACAAATTTAGCACCTACTACATACCTAGCAAGGTATGACCTGGTGGCTAGTATCATCCATTGGATGCCCATTATTCAGTGCTTAACACTGGGCCTGGCACACAGTAAGCACTTACTAAATGATTATTGCCTTTTTTTTTTTTGGTGAGGCAACTGGGGGTAAGTGACTTGCCCAGGATCACACAGTGAGTAAGTGTCATGTGTCTGAGACTGGATTTGAACTCAGGTCCTTCTGACTCCAACTGCTACATGATTATTGACTATCCTTCATGTAGCAGAAAATGGCAAACCCCCATTCTACAAATACATATCTCAAAATATCCTGAAGAAACATCCAATAAAATGTACTAGAACTAGGCCAAATCATAGACCAGACTGTTGTCCACAATCTCCTGGACATAATGATCCATAAATACTTAAGAATGACATTTTAAATAGATGTTACCATAAGAAATACTCATCATCTCCAAGACACATTGACTGATGAAGTTTTCAAACCATGAAAACTTGGCAGAGGAGATCAAAATCACATGGGAATAAGATGAAGTGTATATTACCTCATTGTCCTAATTATGGGAGGTGTTACCAGGATGCTTCCAATGAGCCTAATATTTTTATTCCACTCCTAAATACAGTTATTTTATCCACTTGTGGAAGAGTCCACAGAACATGGATTATCAGAGAATAATAACAGCAACATGATGACTTGCCCTGGGACCATTTTTACTGAACTCCACGATGAGAAGAATTAGACCACCCTCATCATTATCCTTAGCTTCTCACCCAAAGAATCTGTTCCTAGGACCTTATTGGAAAATTAGGAAATAGAAAAGTGACTCAGCAACTTAAACCTTCTACTACTCAGAACTCTTCATTCTTTTTAATCTATAACTTAATGATGTTCTTTCTTCCTGTAATCTTCCTAGTACGATCCTAGAATTTTTAGAACTGGACGGGACCTTAAATATGACCTAGTCTCCTGACTTTATAGATGGGGAAAATGAGGCTTAAAGAGAGGAAGGGACCCACCCAAACTCACACAGCAGGTTACAACAAAACCAAGATGAGATATCCATTCGAATATGCTCTAAGGGAAGTTAGGTGGCATGGTGTGTAGAGCACTAGGCCTGGAGTCAGGAAGACTCATTTCTGCAAGTTCAAATCTAGCCTCTGACACTTACTAGCTATACACGTCACTTAACTCTGTTTGCCTCAATTTCTTCATCTGTAAAATGAGTTGGAGAAGGAAATGGCAAACAAATCCAGTATCTTTGCCAGGAAAACCTCAAATGGGGTCATGAAGAGTGAGACACAATTGAACAACAATAACAACTGATATCCCCTATTTTCCTGAAAGCATGTTGTCTTCACTAAAAGGCAACTGTCTCAGATTCACTGCAATAACCAATTTTGGCCCTGGAGAACATAAGCTCAAACACTTCCCTCCTCTTAGTAAGAGCTGGGAGACTAACAGGAAAGTGAGAGGGCCTACACTGTCAGAGGCCCCCACTTCGTTAATTGGTCTTAAGTGTTTTTCTTTGTTATAAATTTAGGAGGATTTGAAACTGGAAAGGCTATTAAAGTTCATCCAATCCAATCCCCTAGTTTTTCAGGTGAGGAATAAACATTAGAGAGGTGAAATTTCTTGTCAAAAGTTGCACAGTAGGGCAGCTAGGTGGCGCAGGGATACAGCACCAGCCCCGAAGTCAGGAGGACCTGAGTTCAAATGTGACCTCAGACCAAACACTTGACACTTACTAGTTGTATGACCCTGGGCAAGTCACTTAACCCCAACTGCCTTAAAAAAAAAAAGCCTGCACAGCAAGTCGAGTTAGGATTTAAATACATGCCCTCTGACTCCAAATCCAAAGTTCTTTGTACTAATGTTCCCAATTTGACACACTTCTGACCTCCTGCCTCCTGCCCAAAGCAAACTCTGATGTCTGTCAGTTAGCAATACACTTAAATCCCCGGTACAGAGATAACTGTCAGGAGCTAGGAGAATCAAGAGTTACTGTCACCTCTCTCATTCTGGACATTGTCCTCTCACAATTCAGCCTGGGATGATGTTAGCTTTCTGTCATGCTCTCCCTAGGTATTTTTTCAGACAAAATGATGTCTAATCACACATCCCCTACCTTGTACTTTACATTTATCAGTATTATAATTTCATGTGGCTACAGTGTCTGACTTGGAACCAGGAAGACCTGGCTGAAATCCTATCTCAGATACTTATTGGCCACGTGGCCCTGAGCAAGTTACTTCACTGGTCTCAGCTTCCGATTCTTTATCTCTAAAATGAGGACAGTAACATTATTGTGAAAATAAAATAAGGTAATCTATGTAAAAACTTCACAAAATTAATGCACTATATAAAATGTTAGCTTTTATGATTAACTATGGTCTGGTATTCTAGGCTATCAAAAGCTGGCTTCTATCATCTATCATGCTAGCTCTCTCTTCAGCTTTGTGCCATCTGCATGACACTTATACCTCCAACCAAGCCGTCTGGAAAATGAAAGGGCTGAGTAAAGACTGCCTCATAGGGTTTCATTAAACTCTTAGAGTTATGATACTACGAGTTTACTCCTACTGGGCAGACCTTTTAAGAACACAGACCTAGACTAAGAAATACTTGCTAAATGCTTCCATCTAGTGGTCATTTTGTTTCATCATTTCCACTTTTTTTTTTTTGGAGGATACACTCCACTAACAATGGAAACTAAACTTCTGGGCTACATTAAGATTCGATCATTCATTCATTCATTCAACAAATATTTATAGAGTGCTTTACAATGTGCTCCTTGCTTTGCCAGGTGTTGTGGGCAGAACAACACATAAAATATTTCATTTCTAGAATTTCATTTCTAGTTGGAAGGACATGACATTCAGACAAGAGGCTAAAACAATTAAATATCCAAAGTGTTGCTGAAATTCAGAAGAAAAGACCATCACCCTGGGTTAGAGTGGTCTTGGGAGGGCTTCATTAAAGAGGTAGGATTGATCTGGGTTCTCAGAGGTTGGACAGGTTAGGTAGGTAGAATAGAAGGAAGGGAATTCCAGGGCAGTGTAGCTTAAGCAAAGGCACAAAGGAAGGAAGGAAGGAAGGAAGGAAGGAATTTTGCATGAATGAAAACAGAAATAGAGAAGAGCCCAAGTCTTTTTGGAGATGAAGGTTCATTTAGTAGAGTAATGGAAAAGAAGTCTGGATTGTAGATAGGTTAGGGTCACATTGTTTAGGACCTATTGACTATACTACCTGTGCATCTACTATGTGCTTATCTCTGTGCTAAGTGCTACAGGGGATATAGACTAAGAAATCCTAAATTCCCCATAGGGAGATTCCCCAGACTCCCTTCAAAAAGGGAGTGCAGTGCAGAAAAGTCTAAGAAGCAACTGCTTAAAATAGAGGGCAATGAATGGCAAAGGTGAACTAACAAGGTATTGTTGGCACCAACTAAAAGAATCATCTTTCCATCCAAAGTTTCCATCTCTAGCTCCAATATACACACAACTTGATAGCTGTGATGAAATGGTAAATACCTGTGTCATTGTGGTGTTTCGAAAGAATCATGACTTACAGATCAGATTAAGACATGGAAAAGAGAGTACCTTTGAGGAATTCCCTCTGAGTACAGGAGTGTCAAGGAGATAGTTTCATTAGAATAACCTGAGAGGGGATTCTTTGAGTCAGATAGGGGAAGTCTAACTGTTGATATTGTATTGGATTTGTGTAATGGGTACAGTTGAGTAACAACAAGAATTACAGTATTTGAAGGACGGTACCTCATATAGTGCCTCCCTATCCAGCTGATCCTCTATAAAGGGTCTCTATGGTTGCTAAAATATTTCTTCACATGGGTCAGCCATTGCATTCTGCAGCTACACGTAAGCTAGGGACACAGACTTGTTCTTCTGAAATCATTCTTATCATTCTCATCATCATCAGTAGCAGATTATAATTATACAAATGCTTTGAGGTTTGCAAAAGCACTTTCCTTACAGTTGTCCTGAGGGAGACATGGCAGGTATTAGCAAAATAATTTCCTTTAAGTTTGACGATGTCATACCATTAAAGTAGATAGAGACTCCTCAATTAGTCTTTGGAAAGCCAGTGTGACAAGATGTTTTAATGACAGGGAAACGTGTGCCTTTCCCACACCCAAGGGACCAACCAATAGATGATCTCTGTTCCCAGTGAGGGATGGGCCCTTCCCTAAAGGTACAACTGAACTTTTGGGGGGTTTACTTATGCATGGCTAGGGGAGGAGGTCTGGCTTAAGAGGCATAGTCTTTGGTGCACACTCTGGCAATGTGGTTTTAAAGCAGAGAAAATAATAATAGTAATCATAACACATTTTTCCAGGCACTTTCTCATGGAGTAGCTTATCAGAAGTCCATCCTTACATCCTGCTGATTTAAGACCTAAAATAGCTAATTCTGCTTGATGGATTAAAGCCAAGTTCAGATATATACTAAGATACAGAGCACTAGCTCAAACTATTTAGGAGGTTGGCTCTATGTTGTTAATGACCTGCTCCTGTATACACTGTTCCTATGCACAGGTCTGGCCATGTCTCTTCCCAGCTCAAAAACCTTCAGGACTCCCTGCTGTCTACAAGATAGAA